CTAATATATTGATATTTTTCTGATTTTGGTCTATTTTTGCTTCTGTTTAGTGTCGTCACAGTTGCTAGATGACATGACGTAGGCCGGGGTGGAGGGGAGGCTAGACCGTCCAAATTCACAGCCCCTTTTTTTCCGGTCTTCCTGGTCTACCAAGGACCCGGCCTGTTGTTTTGGACACAGCCAGGCGCGCGTGTCCCATATACAACTGTGTGTTGTACTTCGTTCCATTCCTTCAAGGAACCGTGGTTATATTCATAACCTTACGTTTCTCAGTATTTATGTTGTGATTTTATTTTGAGCAAATGCCATCTTCTTATCTTCTCACTTGTAAATCAGAAAAAAATGCTTTTTCCAGGTATTAAAAATTCATTATTCAGGATTATTTTTGTTTTGTTGCTTATTTTCACAGATGGTTGCAGTTTGCACTGTACAAACACCTGCACAGCTGGATCAAAAACACATGTTTTTGACAGCCTCATCCAATAATTAAAACCTAAGTGCAGATTCACCAACTTTTCATAAAAACCTGCTTTGAGTTCTACTCACGACTGAACCCATTTGTGTTTCCATCCACATAAGAATAAACACAAAAACAAAATGTGACACAGACAGCTGCCATCTTGACAGTTTAACCTGACTTCAAAGATCTTTCATGACATCTACTGGGAGAAAAGTATAAAAACCTACTCACTCAGTTTTGCAGATATTGACCTAAGTTTTGGTGTGAGTCTGATCCCCAACATATATTCTGAACATTAATGAATTGCTCAAATGCTATAAACTAATGGTGTTAGGTCTGTCTGTTAGCAAAATATCTCATGAACCACAGCAGGGATTTTAATGAAACTTGTGGGAGACAACCGGTAAAGCTGGTTAACACAAACTAAATCTGTTCAAGATGGCCACCAGGGCCAACTGACTTCATTAAACACCTTTTTTATTTATAGTTGAATTGACTATATTGGTTGTATTGTTGTATTACAGTATAAAAAATTATCTTTTAAATGAGACACTTGCATTTTAGCAAGACTAACTTGTATAAATAAAGGAAATGAAATSAGGAAATGGAATTAAATGAACATTTAAGTACCACAGAGAGTGGAAGTTTCAGGAGTAAGATAAAAAAAATGTATTGCTAATGATTGATTGTTTTAAAGATATTAAGCTAGTTTTGGTTTGGTAGTAGCCATCTTCCATATGATATAGCCTGGAAGGTAACATATGCAATGTTTTCCCACTAAAGAGCTAAACATCTGCACAAGACACAGTATATTCAAATGTTAGGCCTTTAATTTTATTAATGAAATGTATGCAGAATGTTCAGCACCAGAAGAAAATGTGTGGAGTTTAGATGATTAACTGTWAAAACAAAAAGCTAGCAGAACACATTACCTTAATGAAATCCAATCTCCTAACTTGGCACGATTCAACAAGTTTCTGATCTGTCAACTTTTTCCCTTTCCATGCCAAAATCGTGAACTGACATTTAATAAATGAGGAAGTTTCTGTTTATGAAGTCTCATTTGTTGAGCTCTGACAGAAAAGATCAAATATGTACTTCAAAATTGTACTGCTTCTCTGTGGCGCAGTTTGCATCTGTGCAGAAAGTAAGTAACTCTGCCTGCTCCATGTTGTGAATCTGATTTGTATCATTCAGTTTTTCTTGCTGCTAAACTAAATGTTTGAATTGTTTCCTYAGGGAGTCACACGCTCTGTTTCACCTATGGCTGCTTCGACTCAGGTGATACTCAGTCTGACTCTGGATGATGATGAAGTTATGCAGACTTWAAAAATTAAACTAATGTTTGGCAGAGCAGAATACCGGTAATAAGTCATTGAATTATCAAAACGGCCAAAGTTACACAAAAAAAGCAAAAACTCTGAGACATGTTACTTAGTACAAAAAATAAGGACATTTGTGTTTGGTAGATTATTTCTTTGTTGTAACAATGCTTCCTTTCAATAAATCTTKTCAGGCAMCTGACTGGCAGCACSTGGAGGTACAGGAGCTTAAAACAAGTGTCAACAGCAACAGCAAAATAAGTTGTTTAACAGCAACAAAGAAGA